AAAGAAATTTTTCAGCAATTATATAGTTATTTATCTGCAAACTCACTAATTTCAAAGTTTCAATCTGGATTTCGACCTAAACATTCATCTCTAACCTTACTTCTCCAGATGTGCGATGAATGGCTAAAAAATATGGATGAGGGTAAAATAACTGGTCTTGTTTCTCTGGATATCAAGAAAGCATTTGATTCAATTAACCATCAAATTTTAATGTCAAAAATGAAAGACCAGTTTGGTATTCGTGAAAATAAATTGAATTGGTTTACCTCTTACTTGACTGATCGTCAGCAAGTTTGCTGTGTAAATGACCATATATCTTCTTGGAAATCCATAGAAAGTGGTGTGCTGCAGGGGTCTATTCTCGGTCCTTTGATGTTTTTATCATATATTAATGATTTGCCGCAATATTTAAAATAATCAACTCCGGGTTTATATGCTGATGATACGCAGATATTTGCCTCCTCTGATAATTATGATGAACTGGTGGAACTATTAAATTCTGATTTGAAAAATATTAGTAGATATGGCTCTCGGATAACAAACTGCAACACCGTATATCACTAAAACTAAGCTAATGTTCATAGGATCCCGGTACAATATCAAAAATAAAATTGGAGATAAATAGTGACCTTTAAGAATAAGCCATTAAAACGGTACAGATATTTTAAATGTTTAGGAGTTGAGTTAGATGAATACCTTAGTTGGGAAGTTCACATTAATGCAATCTGTAAACAGGTTGGTGCAGGGATAGGAGTTTTAAAACGAACAAAACCATTGAATGAATCCCTGCGCATCATCTATAAGGCGTTAATTCTGCCATACTTTGATTATTGCTCCCCTTTGTGGGATAATTGCGGAATTGTACTAAAAGAAAACTACAGAGATTCCAAAATAGAGCTGCAAGGGTGTTGACGGGAGCAAGTTATGATACCAACTCCTCTGAGTTCCTTGAACGGCTTAAATGGAAAAATCTCGAAAACAGATTTAGATTTAATAAAGTGGTTCTGGTATACAACATTCTTAATAATGGTACTGCCCCCTGTCTTCGAGAATTCTTTCCTGCACGAAGCAATAACGATAATGACTATCATCTCAGAAATTATGATGCAGATCTCTCACTTCCAAAACCTAAGAAAGAATTTCTTAAAAAAAGCTTTAGGTATAGTGGAGCTGTACTGTGCATGAATAGTCTTTCTGCTGAGGCTAAATCTGCTCATTCGATTCATTGTTTCAAAAGACTTATTTGAATCTTGCTTTTAAATCCTATTCCATTTGTAACTACACATTATGTTCTGGGTAATATTCTCTTTGGGTCAGTGGGTTGATTAGTTTTTTCTTTATTTTTATATACTTGTAAATAGCTAAATAGACGCCCCTCATGAAAACCAGCCGTATAGCTGATGAAGATTGCGTCTCTAAAGAAATTAAATACATACATACATACATACATACATACAAACACTCATTAATAATTCATAAGCTTATTGGAAATCATGTCAACCATAATATGTCACGTGCAGTGACTTTAAACCTGATAAAAAACTCCTAATTAGTATTCTTTATATAAAGAATACTAATAAGGCAGTATCTATTGTAGTCGTGTCCTCATTAGTATTCTTTATAAAAAAGAATATTATTAAGGCAGTATATCTATTGAATCTGTAGTCGTGTTTGAAGCCGTTTAATACACTCGCAGGTCGTGTTTTATTAGATCTAAAGCCACTTGCGCTGCGCGCTCGTGCTTTAAACCTAATAAAACACTCCTGCTTGTTTATTAAATCGAACATTGTCACTGTTAAAATGTCCGGCAACAGGTTGGTTAGCATCTTTATCGGTGACATCACAACGATGGTCTTGGTGAGAACCTTAATCCTTATTATCCTCGAACGTCTTTCAGTTTCCCCCAATGTAAAGCTTGACACATTTACTATAGATAGATAGAACTTTTTATTTAAACACGCTAACCATTGTCATTTCCACGGCCAGGGGACAGTAAGTAAGTAAGTAAGTAAGTAAAAGCTTTATTTAAAGAGGGTAGCACTAAATAGCCAAGGCTAATAAACTTGTGGCCCTCATTCATAACTAGTATTAATTACATGCTGATGTTGAAAATATATACAATATTATAAGCTATTTACAAGGTTAAAAACTATGACTATAAATTAGATCGATGTATAGTTAATAATATTTGCTAATAGATCTAGATACTAAAATGATGTAAAAGTTGTTGGTCTTTGAGAATGTTACTCCGCAAATTGTTCTTGAAGCAGTTTAACGAATCCGCCTTTCTGATGTTTAAAGGGATACTGTTCCACAGTTTAGTTGCAGTAACTAGAAATGTGCGTCCACCCTCAGTTTCCCTGTTATATTTAGGGCAAATGGCATTAAAATTAGCATAACGTGTGTTACGCGAGTTACGTACATTATTCAAAATAATGTAGTCGCCAAGATAGCTAGGTAAGTTATTATGTATGCGTTTATAAAAAAATGCACATTTATCAATTTTACATTGCTCGTAAAAAGGAATCCATGCTAATTCATTAAATTGAGCTACTGAAGGTGCCTGGCGATCTGCAAACATGACAGTTCTAGCAGCCCGTTTCTGAAGTTTTAAAATTCTGTTCAGTAAGATCTTATTGCAAGTACCCCAGATGGTGCTGGCATAACTCATAACTGGCCGGATGATTGCATTGTAATATTGTAGGCGTTGGTTAAGTGGCAACTAGACCCGAATTTTCCTCAATACGGCTATGCGAGAAGCTAGTTTCTTGCACACTTTTTCGATCTGATCATCAAATGATAGTAACTTATCAATATCAAGACCCAATAAGGGTGCACTATAGACACTATCAAGAATCTTATTATTAAGCGTAACATTCAGCTTCTCGTCAGTCCTGGGCGCAAGCCTTTTTCCCGTAATCAGCAGAACCTTGGTCTTGGACTCATTAATCGAAAGCTTATTTGCGTTTGCCCAATGCTGTACTTCACTAACAGAACTGTTTAGTGAAAGTTCTAAATTTGATATATTGCTGAAGTCGGAAGAGTCTATAATAGTAGTGTCATCTGCGTAAAGATCAATTTGAGAAGTTACATGTAGTGGTAAATCATTGATGAATAATATGAAGAACAGCGGACCCAGAATACTGCCTTGAGGGACCCCGTATTTCATAACTACCTCACTTGACATTTTTCCACCCAAACGAACAACTTGCTTCCTGTTTAGTAAGTAAGACTGACACCATTGCAGTTCGTGGTTAACAATACCATAGACCTCTAATTTCTTTAACAAAAGTTCATGGTCAACCATATCAAACGCTTTACAGTAGTCAATCAGTACCATACCGGATACCTTATCTTTGTCCAGGTTAAATAAGAGTTCATCGATGATCTTAATAAGTGTGGTTTCAGTACTATGACCTCTCCGAAAGCCAGATTGTCTAGTATAGCTAAGGTTGTTTTCGTTGAGGAAAGCATATAGTGAGTCGTGAAAATGACGCTCGATGACCTTGGACAGTATCGGCAAAACCGAAATCGGGCGATAGTTACTCGGGTCGCATTCAGTACCTTTCTTGTATAAGGGTGTAACCATGGCTGTTTTCCAACGCGAAGGAAACTTGCCTGTGGAGAGCGACATATTGATTATTCGAGTAATACTTGGAGCAATAACTGGTGCAACAATACGTAAAAGACGGGCACTGATTTTGTCAATTCCCGAAGCTTTGTGAGGATTAATCTTCATGATGGTCTTAATGACCTGAGAAATAGTTATAACTGGAACAGAGAAATTAACTTCCTGATCATTTTTCCGTGATTTAACAAAATTGACTAATTTAAACAGGTCAAATGGGACAGTGGAGAGATGACGTCTTATTTTTTTTGCAACTGTAGAAAAATAGGTGTTGAAATTGTTCTGCCATTTCAGTTTTATCATCCACCTCACAACCATCAATTTTTAGATTTTTAATTTGCCTAGTATTGTTTTTTGCACCTGTCAAAGTTTTTATTGATTTCCAGATGGCCCTTGTATTATTCTTATTTTCCTCGAACGAGTTATTATAGAATTCTCGCTTGGCTGACCTCAGAATTGAGACAGCTTTATTTCTAGCCACACGGTAATTTGCCCAGTCATCCGAATTATGAGTACGTCTTGCAACCTTCAGTAAGTGATCCCGAATATGGAGCTGTTTAATTACTGTTTTTGTCATCCACGGTGCTTGAGTATTTTGTTTAACGTGTTTTTCACGCCAAGGACAATGGGAATCAATAGCGCAGTTTAGTATTTGTTCCCAAACATTAACAACATCATCAATGTCATCATTTCTAAAGGCAGTGTCCCAGGGGGCTTGTTTCAGCGTTTCTTTTAACTGATTTTCATCAAGGCGCTTCATATCACGGTATGTAATTCGAGACCCTTTTGAGTGGGTTCCTCCCTTGGGATTTTGACGAGCATACTTTCGAACAGCAAAAACGGGCAAATGATCAGAGAGGCCAATATTGTGACTAGTCACCAATTTAATTTTTTGAGGTTGATTACAGTATAAGTGATCAAGACATGTCTTGCTGACAGGGCGTGTAATAAAATCTACAAGTTGTTTGAAATGCATACTTTTAAGTCCCTTTACAAGCACATGTTTTTCGTAACTTGACTTACTTCTGTAATCGATGTTAATATCAGAAACGATTATAATCTCTTTGTTCAGCAAGTGAATCCTTTCAATATTCGCTTCTATATTTATATCGTCGGCTTGTTTAGATGATGGTGGTCGATAAATACTCCCCAAGATAATCGATCTTTTAGATTTAAATGGATAAACCTCAAGCCAAATTGCTTCAGCATCATGACTTTCTAGATCAGTTCTGCGTTTCACTGTCAAGTCA